TTTAATTAATTATAGCTATAGAGCTAATGATAGACTTCATTAACATTTTTTCAGTAAACTGACAAGTATCAGCCCCAATAAATGAAACAGTATAGCTGTATTAGCCAATTCCTGTGTAAATATTTAAATAAAGATGAATAGGTGCTATGAATCAGTCCTGAAGCATGTATTTTATCTTTATAAAAAATGACTGTGTGTGTATTTGTCCCTGAGATGTACTGAAAAAAATGTGGTAAAATAAATGTGGTATTCTTCTGAAGGGAAGGATCACATCAATGAACATATAAACTCATTTATTATTCTGATACTTCTATGACAAATTATACAACACCGAAATCTTTATGTTCAGTCATGTGTCTCTATGAGTCTCTGCTAATTCCATCATTTTTTTAAAAGGGATGTTTGGGGAGTTTTGGAAACGAGCAGAAAATGTTCTTCCAGAATGAAAGGGAAGTGTTCACTGATATAGAATTGATACACACCTGTAAATAAAGTCTGTCTAGTATATCTTGAAGCCCCAAGGTTTTATTGAATTATAAAAGGTGGGAAAATTTTACCTGTCTAGCTGATTGTTGTTTCCCCTTATTTCAATATGTATTTTACAGTTATCACTATAACCACCAATGGATGTATATATTCACATGTATTTTACAGCTCATTTTTTTGATCTTGGAAGAGCAATGATTTATTTGACTTAAAATCTATCAAAACTTTTGCCAAATGCCATTTTTCATAAAACCCGAAATCTAGCGTGTGAAAGATCTAAGCTCAGCTACATAGATAGAGGGTGCACAAGCCGGACTTAGTCTCTCAATTCACTCTCTCTCCCAGCTCACTTCCTGTTGTTTGAAACAATAAAAGCTTCAGAAAACATTCCTGGTTCACTCACTCCTAGTTATCAGGAGTGAGTGAAAATGTTGCAGAATGCTGGTATTACACATTCATCCTGTTTAAATTTAGAGGGGCGCATTACCTTTCTTCTCCCTCCCTCCTTCCCCCACTTCATAGCATATAATCTGTAAATGGAAATAACTTTTTGGCTAATGGAGAATAACATGATTACCAGATTCCCAGAGGTAGGACTTCACTATATGTGTGTACAAATTTGAGTGCTTTCTGGCAGATATGGGCAAGGGCTATTGAACATCAATAAATGTCAGAGTGGCAAAACCTCAAAAAATGTTTGCTGCTGAGGCTGGTCATGCACTAGGCCCACATCAAATCAAAAGAGTATGCTTCTAGGAACATTTCTGTAACATCTGTCAATGTGGCCTGTTTTAATTTGGGAAAAGAAGCTAGAACAGGTAAAACTGTTCATGCTGGACCTTACTTGCAACTTAATCTGAAAAGAATTTAGGCATTCTCCAACTTTAATTTTACAGAGATGCAAACAAAGTGCCGCTTGATGATTTAGGTGCTTCTGATGCTGAAGGGGATGACAAAGGCCCTACTTGATTGTTACTATGTTCCTTATGTTGTTATAGTTGCACACACAGGGAGCATCCAGTTGAGTGCGCACGTGTGGTTTGTGGTACCTCAAATCAGTTTGAGGTGCTGCAAATCACACACATTCACCTGTTTGCCATGCTGCTAATTGGCAGCATGGAAGGGGGTTTTTTGACACTGGTAGATCCTGGTGTCCACTGAAAGAAGTGGTGTGCAGAGAAACAGAGCCTGGCCATCCAGAGCCATGCCAGATCAGTGCCACTGCTGCCCCAGGAGGCCCCCAGAACCCCAGGTAAGGCTGCTGGAACCAGCACAGGTGCTAGCCCCAGCCTCCTGTATCCCACCAAGAGCAGTTTGCCCCACACCAACCCCAGGTGCAGGGGCATGCACAGGTGCAAAACGTAGCGGCACAGATTTGTGCCACTGGTATTTTTGTCACATCAGTCACGTAGCCCTGCATGTGGGGACATGCCCACAAAGTGCAATCAGAATTGAACTGTTTTCTGTGTGTTCTACAGAGCCCTAGGAAGACTTGCACAGTCTCTACCCTGAGATGTGAAGCGAGCACATATAGATTCATTTTACTTGTCATTCTTTCTCTGCCTCTGCAAACCTCTGACCACTGTGTCCTTCACAGAGAACGATGGTTTCCATCTGCTCTCATACTTAATTAGAAACTGGATCTGCACATTAATACTTTCCCAGAAACTCTGTGAGGGTTGTCAGATGAAGGATTATAGGATAACTGTCATTCTGTAGAGGACTCATAAGAAAACCTTCAAATTATGCAGAATTCAATGAAATGAGACAAATAATAACTCTAACAGTTCCCTTCTTTTTCCTTCCTGCCACACACTGTGCTGATTGTAAACATAAAACAACTGTGTGTGTTTCTTTTGCTAAGAACTGCATGGACTTATACACATGCTTGTTTTAGAAAGCTTTTCTGTATGTTACTATTTAGATGAGGCATATTCCTAATCTTCATTATGAGCCTTTTTTAGAATTAGCCTTAGTTCCATGGGCTAGGGACAGGCATTCAAACAGCCGGCACCTGAATTGATTCAATCTTTGCAGGTTAGTCTAACCTGCCCATATTGTACCAATTTGCAAGTGAACAGACATTCAAGAAATGCCTGCAGTGGCTCAGGCCAGGAGCTTGGGGTGCTAGAGCATGCCCTCGGCTGCAGAGAAGCTGTACTGGTGGGGGCATAGCCAACCCCGGCAGTAGCCTCAAGTGAACTTGCCAGGGAGACAATTTAATTCCCCCCTCCCCGTCCCACCAGCACAGACCCAAGTTGGGGTCCACTCTGCACTCCCCCTCGCTGTAGCAGCAACAGGGGCAGGGGCATGGCCAGGCACCAGTCAGCATGGCCCCTGAGGCAGAGGGGGCAGGGAAAGGGTTTATTCCTCCCTCCTCTGCCCCCGGGGGACCGCAGCCAGGGTCTGCCAGCCCCAACCACCACCACCACTGACCGCTTCCTTGCATAGGGTGAGGAGTGAAATAACCCCTGGCCCTGCCCCCTCACCTAAAGGGGCCATGCCAGCCAGTGTCTGGCTGTGACCCAGTCCCTGCTGCTGGAGTGGTGAGGGGACAGGGACCCTGATAGGGGCAGCACCCCTATCATGGTTTCCTGGGAGTGGAAGCCTCTTCTTGGTTGGGGACTGCACTGTGGACAGGAGTGGAGCGGGGTGGTCAGAGCTGCTGCAGACTGCACAGGGAGAGTGGCAGTGGCACGCTAGGAGGAGCTTGCGGGGTTATGGCCACCCTTCTGAGCCGTGGTGCTGCTTCTTGCCCCATGCAGTCTGCGGCAGCTCTGACCATGCCTTCCCACCTCACTCTGCTGCTGCCCACAGCACAGGCCCCTGCTGGGAAGAGGCTTACTTCCCTGGAAACCATGACAGGTGGTGCTGCCCCCATCAGGGTCCCTACCCCCTTGCTGCTCCAGGGGCAGGGGCAGGGGCATGGCCAAATGCCGCTGGCATGACCCCCTTATGTGAGGGGACGGGGGGGGGTTATTTCCCCCTCCTGCTGGTGTCTGGTGGAGGGGGCATGGAAGGAGCTTATTCCACCACTCACCCCACTCAGGGAGCAATTGGCGGTGGCAGTGGTTGAAACTGGCAGACCCTGGCTGCATTCCCCTGGGGGCCGAGGGGGTGGAGGGAAGAATAAAGCCTCTACCTGCCCCCTCTGCCTCAGGGGCCATTATGGCTGGCCGTGTCACTGCTGCTGGAGCAGCGAGCAGGGAGTGCCAGGTAGACCCTGGCTCAGGTCTGTGCTTGTGGGACAGGGAGCGGGGAATTAAACCCTCTTCCTGGCCAGTTCACTTGAGGCTACTGCCAGGGCTCGCCATGCCCCCACCACTGGAGCAGCGAGTGTAGAAATTCCTGGCAGGTCCATGCTGGTGGGACAGGGGAGGAGGGGGAATAAACCTTTTCCCTGCCCCACTTTTGCCTTAGGGGGGCCAGCATCTGGCCACACCCCCACCCTTGCCCACCCGTGCTCCAGCTAGGGAGCAGAGGGGCAGGGGCAGCCATGCTCTGCTGGAGCAGATAGCACTGCTCAGGTTTGCAGAGCATGTTGGGATGCTGGAGGACTCTGGCTTAACTTTTACCAGGAAGGGGTCTGGGACAGAGTTTCCATAAACCGGTTTGAGCTCAATCAGTTAAGTCTGATACTGCATTCAACCAGGTTTATCTCAAACCGGTTTCAGCCATTTTGAAACTGGTTTATGTGCACTGATTGGTTACAAGTTTAAACCAGTTTCTGATCACTTAAATCAGTTTATGTGTAACTCCTGTCCCTAGCCACTATGTTCTAAGGCTAACCTGGTTCTGACTAGGCTTTGTGTAATGTTTACACTACACTGGACCTGTCCTAAATCAGACTGTACATTTTGTATGGGGTTTTGTGGTCATAAAGCACAATCTATTATAGACAGAATATCTATGTTAATTTAAGTTATTCCTTGTGACAACCAAGGGATAACATATATCTCCTTAGAGCTTTATTCACAAAAAGAAGTTCACATGCTGAACATTACCTGTCAGGTTGACATTGTTGTTAAAATAATGTTCATCATCAAAATATAAGATTTCAGGGTATTTATTTCAGTGATTTAAAACAAATTATGTAGATGGGAATACTGTGTACACACAGAGCACAGTTGCATGGGAGATATGCATATATCCATAATTGCTGCATATAAATAGATCTGAAAGATAAACACAATTCATCAAATCAAATGTCAAGTTATAGCTAGTTTAAAATGAAAGCAGTGAAGATAGCTCTTCTTCTATGCAAAGACTCAGCCGTGTTTGCAAGTAGAATTGCTAAGACAACTGTTGTTCTGGGAATGGACTTACACACCTGACTTTGGCATCTTTTTCAGACACTTGGAGGGAGTTAATTAGATCTGTAAAACAAAGTCGAATAATCAGCAAAAACTTGAAACCAATCTGGAATCTTTTGAATCTTTAAGGAAAATCCAATAAGCATTTGAAGAGGGAAATCAATATGGAGTCCTAATTGGTTTCCCTTTGCCTTTTCACAGGGTCCAGGCTTTCTCTCTGAAGCTCTTTTTCCAGCACATAAACCAGTAACTGAAGAGATGGATCCTTCCTTCAGCCTTCATGAGATCATTGCTAAGGTAATTGGTATTGAGGTATCTCACTTGAAATTACATATTTTTTTTCCATGGGGAAAAATATGCTCATGAATCAGAGAAGTAGTTTTCAAAGATGAAATACCTCTTTCCTAGTGATCTGTTTGTTTCCCACTTAAAAGCTAACACAGGCTTTTTGTTCAAATTAGCACTGGTACTTGCTTTACCGGGTATATTGATTGTCTTGTACAACTGAAATATAGTATCCTGCAAATGTTATATTTTTTGTAATTCCTGTGTGGTGGTCAGTAGCATTTTGTACAGAGCTGACACTTTGTGGGGATCGCTGCCCTTTTTGCAGGGAATTAGATCTCACTCGTTGGCACGGTATAGCACTTTCATCACTGTCAGTTTTGGAGTCTGAGAGTTTACTAGAGGGAAATACTTACCATTTATGGCTAGGACATAATGATTTTCTGTCAGTGGAGGCTCCTCAAGAAATCTACTAAATTAGAATATCCCCAAGGCAACTTAGCCTGTCTGCTTCTTGGACCACACAGCTTCCCCTTGCAGAAAGACTTCCCAACAATGACTTGTGTGACTTTTCATTTCTGGAGGGCCCATAGACAGAGCTGTCAGTGGATGGAATATTTCTCCATATAGTGTCATTGTCTTTCCTTTTGGCAAGTTCCAATGATTACCTACAGTATCCGCATATTTTCTTGTTCCCCTCTCATCCCTCCAGTATGGCCTGAGGCTCAGTCCTGTGTCCCAATAGTGTAGCCCAGCTAGCTTCCCATGACCCTATCACATGTCCTCTCTTCCACCTTCCTCCTTATATCACATGTCCTCTCTTCCACCTTCCTCCTTCCATCCGTCCAATAAACTGTAGCTCTAACAAGATGCAAGACTCAAGCAAATTGAACATAATGGATTCAGACACATTTTACACTGATAACTTAAGGAAGAACAGGATTTCATGTAAGCTACAAATATTCAGGCCTTGTGAACAGATTTCTCTGAGCATTTGGAGCTATTTCATTTAGAAAAGCAGCTGCTGTGGACACAGTTTTTTTAACAGCAACAACAACAAAATTACGAGGATTGTCAGTGCACAGAGTTAGCATGTAGTCAGAGCAGCTGCATTGGCAAGATAGACAGTAACTGCTCTGGATTTACAAAAAAAAAAAAAAAATCTCAGACAGTCTTTTGAGTCCTGGCAGTCTAGAAGCACTGGAGATTAAGGGTCAGGAATAATAGGAAAGTCCTCTCTGATCCTGTCTGGAAGGAAAGATGGTTATAGCATGGGTTCTTGATGCTAAAGCAACTTAAAAGGTGATGCTCAAATTCTACCCTTGAACCCTGGGGCTGAAGGAAGACATGGATAATTAATTAATCATACTTAGATGGTAGACCTTGACCACAATGAATAATCTGCCTTTGAGACTTCCTCAGTGCATGTTGATTAGTAGAGAAGAACATGATTTAATAAGGAAATAAGACCGTTGTCTCTCAGTATGACAGTTACCTCTAAATATATTGAAGTTTGCACATGATTTTATTGTGGTTTTGTAGCTTCCCATTGACATTGGAGGCCTCTTGTATAAAAGTCATGTAGAATGCAAAATGATAAGGTTTAATGCAAAATGATAAGGTTTATTTTCATTATACGTTTCAGGTCGTGTCTAAAAGCAGTTTTATAGAGATAAGGAATGTGAATGTCCTCCTTTGAGTATTCGTCCGCACGCAGATTTCAACATGGGGACAGGCTCAGTTTACAGAAGGGCCAGGGGCTGAATTCACCCAAATGTAAAAATATGTGTGTTGACACTACATCTCACTGATGTAGTGCTCCCTATTACTTCTGTTAAGATCTCTCTTACCACTGAATTTCTAGGCTTGTCACTGCCAAATTGGAGGCTGTAGGGTGGAGACAGGCAGGAGCACTGGACACAAAGCCTTGGTGTCTTTCCATTATTAAAAAACAAAAATTTGCATGTCATATTCTTTCAGTGTACAAGCTTCCTTTTAACTAAGCATGTGGGTAAGGAGGAAATCTTTTAGGCCCCCTCTACATGTTACATCTCTTGTGCAGTTGCCTGCTAATTGTGCAACTAATTTAGACTAGTTACACATACAAATTCACTATGATGCCTTAAAAAGGTCCAACCAAATATCTGGTTAATGCTGGAAAATATGTAATAACTTGATAGCTGGTTCCTGTCCAGCTATAATTTGCATGTGTAGCCTGTGCCCTAGCTGAGAGACCACAGCTGCTGCAATCTCCCAGCTCCAGGGGCACCCCACATACAACTGGGGATGGGAGTCCCGCAGCTAAAGATGGTGATCCCAGGCTCCCCCTTTATCGGCCATAAGGTGTGATAGGATCTTATGCTAGATCCCACGATTATGCCTCCTGCCATGTACATGTAGCATGGCAGGAGGAGTGATTGTGTGGATTATGTGTTAATTGTGCCTTTACCTGCCTGTGTAAGGGGGTCCTTAGATGTCAGGATTTTTGTTTTCTGTGATAATGAAATCCCCCAAATTTGTGTTACTTATCATAAAGTCTGTATTTTTCACTAAATCCTGCCATTTGTGTCTGAGGTGGCATGTTTAGTTATCCTTGGCAAGCCTGTCTTCTCTGGGTGCATCTACACAAGACACTTTACTGCATAGTAGAGCAAATTACTGTGATCTAAGCATCACCATCTACACACGTAGACCCGTACTGCACAGTAATGTGCTTTACTTGGCAGTTACTTTGGTACCTGCAAATAGAAAATTAACTGCCGAGTAATTACTGTGAAGTAAGGCACATGTAGACGGCTGACTGGGAGCAAATTTGCTCCCAGTCAGCCAGGCAGCAGGGGCCGTGAGATTGCTCCCTGGCCCCAGGAGCTGGCAGCAGGCTCCGCCACTGGAGCCCAGGCAGGGACAATGTCCCCCCTGCCCTGGCAGTATGTAGTTCTCAACCTCCACTCTGCATTGTCCCCACCCAGGCTCTGGTGGTGGAACCTACCCCGGCAGCAGGCAGCTCCCAGGGGCTGGGAGCTCCCTGCAGGGGGAGAGTTCCCCTCCGAGCCTGGAGCTGGTTAGGACCTTCCCCTGATGGGGACAATTCCTGGCCAGCCCCAGGCTGCACTAGGAAGTTTGCACATGCAACCTGGTGCTGACTAGGGACTGTCTCGGTCTGGGACAGGTCTCAGCCCTGCTGCTTTTTCCCAGCCCTGTGCTTGGATCAGGCGATTGAGGAAATAGGGCTTGGAAAGAGCTATGGGGAACAGGGCAGGTCCCAGTCCCTTGCCCTGATCCACCATAGGGGCAGCTAGCACTGCCCCATGCTGTTTGGGGGCTCTGCATGAGCCCCATGGCCGCCCCCCTCACTGCCCCAGCCTCCCCCACATGGCTGCCCCGCCCACCGCAGCTCCGGCCCATTAAGAAAAAAAACTGAGAAAACCCCCTGGACTCACCATTCCTACCAAGTGGGGGGTGATCCCCACTGTCCCCCACTGCCCCACGCTATGTGGGGACCTCTGCATGAGCCCTCCAAAGCCCCAAGGCCACTGCAGGAGCGGTGAGTCATGGGGTTTTTCTTGGGTTTTTTTTCTTAAATGGCTGGAGCTGGGGCAGGCAGTGCAGCCATGGGGAAGCTGGGGGAGTGTGGGGGGTGGGGGAGCTTGTAGCAGAGCCCCCTACATGGCATGGGGCAGTGGGGGCAGCGGGGATCGCCCCCTGCCCGGCAGCACCGGTGAGTAGGGCTTTTTTTCTAAGTACCGGGAGCTGGAGTGGGTGGGGCAGCCATGTGGGGGCTGGGGAACAGGCAGGGGTAAGGGGGGAGCAGGCTCCCCTCTCCCCCATTTCCCCTTCCTCTTCTTACCAGCTCCTAGTCCAGCTTCAGTTCCGTGCTGCAGCCATTGGGGACTGTCTGAATCATCGAAGCTCTCTGAATCTTTTCTGAAGATTTGGAGAGCTTTGAATTAATTTGGACTTTTTAATTGGTCCCTTGATTCGATTTGGATTCAGCAATTTGGCCACCGAATCAGGCCAAATCTCCTCTGAATTGAATCACCACCCGAAGCTTCACACAGTCCTACAAATCACATGTAGACGCCTACCCACAGTGTGTTTACTCTAGAGTATGTTACCCTGGAGTAAACCCATCCAGTAGCATTTGCAGATGTAAGTGTGCCCTCTTAGACATACATTTTGTACTTGTGGTTGCTTGTCCAAACAAGAAATGCAGTCTGGGTTCTGAGAAGACTTTATGAAATCTAGCATCTTTTTCACTGGACTTTTGCTGACACTGATTTCCATACATCCAACTTCCTTCTGCCTGATGGCTCTTTTTATACATTATGTTACTGGTACCTACTCTTTAATTATTTTAAAGTACTAGTTATTATGAAGAAAAGGGAAGAAAAGCCTTTCAAAATGTAGATAACTGTTGAAAAAAAAGCCTCTAACTATGCTTGCAGTAAATAGTAGCATTAATGTACTGTACAGTATTCTGACTCGGCTACCATTTTGCAACATAATTCAGTGATATCAATTTTTAGAATATGCAGTAGGTCTACGTGTATATTTTTATACAGTATATGTATACCGAATAGGAAGGGGGAAAGGATGTAGTCATACTAGAAGCCTGAATGTAAGCAGTTGGATTCCAGGGGAAATGATACAGAGCATTCAAGTTTAAGTTCATGTAAATAAATATCATGAAGGTCATAAAAGCATTTTACAGAAAAAAGGTTAAGTTCCTAAGAATCTTTAATGCAGAAGCATGGATGAAGATGAAAAGCCCTGCTAGGTATTAACAGCCTGGAAAACTGGAAATTTGAGTGTTACCAACTCTCACATTTATATTGCAAGCCTTGATATATATGTAAATTTGTTTAAGGTCCAACTTCTGGAATTGTGATAGTTTCAGGTTTCCCTCAGCTTTCTTAAAGTTTCAAGCTGGTTGCAGAAACAAAATTGAAAAATGTGACTCAAAAGTACCCACAAGCAGCGTGACAAAGAAAAAGAACCCTATATTAATTATT